ATAATAATAATAACAACAACAACAACATCAGCTACTTTAGCTGAGGACCGAAGAGATGACTCAGCAGTTAAGAGAACATGTTCTTTCAGAGAACCCAAGTTCAATTCCCAGCACTCACATGGTGGCTTACAGCTGTCTGTAACTCCAGTTCCAGGGGTTCAACACCCTCTTCTGGACTCTGTGAGCACTTGCACTCATGTGCACAAACCCCCACACAGATGCAGACAAACATAATTCAAAAATAAATCCTTTATAAAAGGCATCTCTGAGTCAGGCATGGCACACACCTTTAGTTAGTCCCAGCACTCAGGAGGCAGAGACAGGTGGATCTTTGTGAGTTCAAGGCCAGCCTGGTCTACATATCGAGTTCTAGGCCAGCTGGGGCTACAGGGAGACCCTGTCTCAAAAATACAAAAAAATGCAGGAAATACATGCATACTCATAAAATAAAAAAATAAATAAAACTTAAAAAATAGAATCAAATGCTTGTAATAGTTTACTGAAATGGTTAAAATGTGTGCAGAAGGGTTCTTTCCAGTTGTAGCTCCCACTAGACTTCATGATGTATACATTATGCTTCAACTAAACCCGACTGTTTCTCAAAGGAACAGATACTGTTCTGTGGTGGGAACTTTACTTCTAACATACGTTATATTTAGAAAGTCCTCTAGCCACCTGTTACTGACAAAATCCCATCCATCCTTAAAAGTTGGGTTCACAAATTTTCTCATTCACATTTCCATCCTGATCTTGCCAACTGGATGTGATATTTATCTCCTCTGAGCCCTCAAAACACTATGCATGTATCTCTCTGATGGCACTTAACTCATTTGCCTTATGTTTTTAGTATTTGTGACCTTGATTTCTTTCCTCATTGACAGCTGTAGAGCAGGAACTATGTCTTCTTTATTCTTGAAACTCTTCAGAGTTATTCCTCAAAAAAAGGCATCTCTGGGGGTCTGGAGAGATGGCTCTGTGGTTAAGAGCACTAAGCACTCTTGCAGAGGACCCAGGTTTGATTCCCAGCACCCACATGGCGGTTAACAACCATCCAAAACTTCAATTCCAGGGAAATCTGAAGCCTTCTTCTGATCTCTGCAGACACTGCATGACATGGGTGCACTTATACACATACAGCTAATACACCCTACATATAAAATAAAAATAATAAATAAAAATTTTAAAAATGTATCTCTGTGCCTGGTGTGGTGGTGCACATGGGTAATCCCAGCATTCAGAAGCTGGGAGCAGGATGAGTTCAAAGTCGTCCTTAACTCCATATTGTTTGTGCCATTCTGAGCTATATTACACCCTGTCTCAATAAACCAAAAAGTAAAATAATAATAAAGACATCACTGCCATCCTTTCCTAGCACTCTGGGCACTGTACACACCAGATGCCATCACCCTTTCTGGCATATGGCTTCCTGACAGCTGCCTCCTCGGGCTCCTGCATTATGCTTGTACTTCTGTCTGACCCTTAGGCATGAGCCCAATTTGTTCTCTAAAATAGCTTTCATGGTGTCACTTTCTAGCTCAAGATCCATGAATGGCTCCCCTGGACCCTGAAGTCCTCCAACATCCACCTGGCCCCGCAGTATCACCATATACCTGGGGCCCCTCCTGGTCCCAGAGCTACAAAGCATTTCAAACAGTTCAAATTTGACAGTTCAAATTTATTTAAGTGCAAACAACTATGCTTTAAAATTAATGTTTGAAACATTTAAGTATATTTGGAGTAACACACGTCTACTTTTCAACTGCAAATTTCATGAAACAAATATAAATCAAGTATTGGGGAAGGTTTAGCATCTGAATTGAGATATACTTAAGAATAACCCACATGTTGAATTTAAAAGACTTAGAGGTTTTTATCTTTTAAAAAAGTAATGCAAAATTGTCATCAAAACATTTTTATGGCTGCTAGGCGAGGTGGCACACACTTTTTTTGGGGGGGGCGCTTTTTGAGACAGGATCTCCCTATAGCTCCAGCTGTCCTGGAACTCACTATGTAGACCAGGCTGGCCTTGAACTCACAGAAATCTGCCTGCCTCTGCCTCCCAAGTGCTGGGATTAAAGGCATGTGCCACCAT